TGGTCTTGTAAGTCATGCCAATTATTACAATTACAAGCTAAAGATTTGGTCTTGTAAGTCATGCCAATTATTACAATTACAAGTTAAAGATTTGGTCTTGTAAGTCATGCCAGTTATTACAATTTACAAGCTAAAGATTTGGTCTTGTAAGTCATGCCAATGGAAGCTTTGATTGACTGTTGATGGTAGTCAAGGTAACAGCCATGATTGTTTCAAAGTATCATTCGAGCAGCTTCTGATATATTTATTGAAAGTTTGTTCTTAGATCTTAGTCTGCTTTCTGCTCAGACTAGAATATCATCTGATTTTTTTGCCAATAAATTGATAGGGATGACTCACTGTTATGGACTTGTATATCTCCCCATCTAGAGCACTATCACAGACACATACAAGTCCCCCTTCTATTAACCTTTTCACTGATGCTGGGATTTATATTTCCCTCTCACATTGCAACTGGAACAAATGTTTCCTATTGTCATTCAAAATTGCCATGCGTGACGTATGGCAGTGAAATGAGTTGGAAAGTATTTATTGGCATCCCACCTAATGTTGATATATGGTTTCCCTCAGCCCTTCAGTAACCAACAAGATGTCTATTTATTGACATCCCACCTAATGTTGATATATGGTTTCCCTCAGCCCTTCAGTAACCAACAAGATGTCTATTTATTGGCATCCCACCTAATGTTGATATATGGTTTCCCCTCAGCCCTTCAGTAACCAACAAGATGTCTATTTATTGGCATCCCACCTAATGTTGATATATGGTTTCCCTCAGCCCTTCAGTAACCAACAAGATGTCTAAGTGGAATGTACAACATTGCATGTCATCCATGCCCGCAGTAACCCTAATTACTATGTAAATATGTTTGATGAGCCTGACTCAGATAGTTTAAAAGATGGTGAAAGTGAGTCAAGTGGTGTTTAAATGAGTGATGATGAAGAGACATTTGTTCCAGTCACAGTGTGAGGGGGGTGGGAGCACTGGGAAATATGTGTCCCAGCTGCAATGAATGGGTTAAGGCACTGTCACAGACTCGTATGTGTCCCTTTCTAGAGCAACATTGCAGACACATATGTCCCCTCTAGAGCACAGTCATATGTCCTTCCTCTAGAGCACTGTGACAGATGCATATATGTCCACCTCCAAAGCACAGTCACATGTCCACCTCTAGAGCACTGATACAGGCACAAATATGTCCACCTCTAGAGTACAGTCACATGTCCCCATCTAGAGCACTGGTACAGGCACAAATATGTCCACCTCTAGAGCACTGGTACAGGCACAAATATGTCCACTTCTAGAGCACAGTCACATGTCCCCCTCTAGAGCATTGATATGGGCACATATATGTCCACCTCTAGAGCACTGCCACAAGCATGCATGTCTCCCTCTAGAGCATTGATAAGGGCACATATATGTCCCCTTTAGAGCACTGCCACAAGCACATATATGTCCTCTCTAAACCACTGCCACAGACACATTTACTTCCCTCTCTAGAGCACAATCACAAGTACACATGTCCCTTTCTAGAGCACAATCACAAGTACACGTGTCCCTTTCTAGAGCACAATCACAAGTACACATGTCCCTCTCTAAAGCACTGCCACAGATACACCTATGAGACTCACTATGTAACCTTTATTTTAGCCGTGAAAATTGTGTTACTAACCACACACGAGCTTGTGATACTAACCACACATGAGTTTGTCCATTTGTAGAAATGTAAAGAATATCAAACTGTCCAAAGTTTGCTAGTTTCCAGTTTTGAATAAGTAATAAAATATATATTTTTGTTTTTCTATTGTGTCTGAAAATAAGGGTGGTACTACGAAGGTTATCTATAAATCTGGAAGTGAAAGAGTTATGTCTAGGACTTGAAATGTCTAACCAATTTAGTTAAGACTTGAGGCGAATTGTTACTATAAACAATGTTGGATATCTCTTCTTTAGGACCAGTAGCCTCAACAGTTATGTCTCACGCCACCGTGATGCGACTGAACCTCGACTTCACGCAGCAGGAAGAGTTATCCAGTTGTGCTCGGACTCTGGCCATTCAATGTGCAACAAAAGATCCACCAAACTGTGCTCTGAATGCCCTGACTCTGTGTGAAAATGATCCATTTGCCTTTGAAGCAGCATATCAAATAGTTGTGGAAGCTGCAACAACTAACGTTATGACGTCATCGCAACTCTTCACAGTAGCTAGGTACATCGAACACCGTGGCTATCCTCACAGGGCGTACAAACTAGCCGTTCTTGCCATGAAAGGTGTTCACTTAGCATATAACCAAGACAACCATCCAGCAATTAATGACATTCACTGGGCCTGTGCTCTCACTCATTCCCTCGGTAAGTCTGAGCTTACCAATCTAGTGCCGCTTCTCGTGAAAAATGTTCATTGTGCGACAGTGCTGTCAGACATCTTACGTCGATGTTCAATGGCACCACCAGGTATAGCGACCCTGGATGCCAAAAGACGATGTATCAAACCACTCTCCTTGGACAAACCTCCACTCAGGCAGTTACTGGAGGCCACCATATCGGCATATGTGAACACTACTCACTCTCGGTTGACGCACATAAGCCCCCGTCATTACAGCGACTTCATCGAGTTCCTCAGTAAGGCCCGAGAGACTTTCTTGCTTGCCCCCGAGGGGCATCTTCAGTTTGCCCAGCTGATAGACAATATGAAAACTGCTTACAAGGGGAAGAAGAAGTTGATGTTTCTAGTGAAGGAACGGTTCGGTTAACGACTGCCGTAGTTAGCTGGCCGTCTGAGACGAGACATATGCAATAGTAAGGTTTGACCAAGGCAAGAGAGAGAGTTTATATTTTGGGCGGTCAGGAAAACCGTCATCATCTTATCAGGCTTGTCCTTATTCTAGCATAGAGTGTTGTGGAAGTGAGTTGGCAACATCAGCATGCTAGTAGTTTTACTAGTAATTATTTCAGTTTGTGCTTGGCTGTCAAAACGTATTATATGCCATTGTTATATATTGCCAAGAGCAGTAGAACAACTGTTCAAATGTACAAAATATCCTATAGAGAAAACTAAAACCAACCCCTCCCAAGGGCCACCTTGGTGGAGCTTTTGGTGACACAAAAGTTTTGTACGTACAGTCTCTCATCCAAGTGTGGGTTCAAATTGCAAAAAAAGCCTGTGTTCCTTGTGGTCCTACCTCACTGAGTGCCACTATAACTGTGCCGAGAAAATGAACCCACGTGACAAGTAACATTACTTTTGTAATATGCTAGTGGTAAGGAAATGTACATAATGTGAACCTGTTTGTGTCTGTCCTGTGGCTGATTGGAAGGACAGCTCTTTTGTTCATTTTGTTTAAAAGTTTGCATGAGAAAATCTGTTATATAGTTTGTGTTGGATGTCTTCTAATTTTATTGTGTTTGACGGTGAGTTAAAGCTACATTGTCAAATTATATAGTCTTGCTATGAAATCATGTTAACTATTCGGCGTTACTGTGAACCTCACCGGTAGTATTATGTTTGGGATTGATCATAATGAATTTGTTTACTCTGTTGAATTATGAACTTAAAATTATTACCTGTGTTGATAACCCCATTAAAAAAGGTTCAAAATCGGCATGATTGCCAGATGGGTGTCATTTTAGAGCATAATTATATTTCTGATCCATCAGTTTTATTCATGAATATATCTATATAAGATGAGAGAGAAAAGATTACAAATTTGTGAAGAAGTGCTTTGTGGTGTAGTGATTATATGTTAAAGTAAATTTTTTTTTAAATAATAAAGAGAGTTTGTTTACAATGGTGTGTTTAAATTAAAATTTTGGTATAGAATTGTGTGTGCTCGAGAATTAACTGTAAACTTAAAGAATCGGCTAATTAACTGGATCGATACATATCCGAAACCCTTACTAAATAGAGAAGGTTCCATTTTTTACAAGTTCATACCTGCAGGTCTTAATCTGCGTGTTCCTACTGTGTGTTCTCATCACCATGACAGAGATAGTTTAAAAGTTGGCTCAGGACCTGGAGTAAAGTTCCTGATTTATCTTCTTTAAAACATTCCACATCACTGAATGGCCGTTCTTTCCTGTTGCTCACTATTGAAAAGTTGAAACTCAGTAAAATAGTATTTTTTTCGTGACATAAAAACTGAAATGTGTAATTTTTCAGGATTATTTTTCAATCTGTTTCTTCAGAAATAGAATTGTGAATGTTTTAATCAGACAAGGTTTGTTGACAAAAAAAAAAAGATCCCTGTATTTGTTTTGTATCTGATGTATTCGAAATGGTGAAACGTTTGATTGAATAGACAGCTTGGAATTGTTTGGCCAACTACTGAAGTTGAGTCAAGCTCAACAGCGGCTATTGAACAAGTCTGGTTAGTGGTAATGTGCCAGTTAATAAGATAGAATCAGTAATAAGTCAAGATCAGTTCTGGTGCTACTAACTTTGTATAGGTAATAAAACCAACACAAACTCAGCAGTTAGTAATTGGAATCAGTAATAAGTTGTTGCACTGGTGACTGTGTTTAATTTAACCAACTGGTTACTGATTTTAGTGGGTAAAAAAAGCAATGGATGTTAAGTAATCTTATTTTTTATGATTAAGTTAACAGTTACTGCTCTGAATTAGCGCTGTTAGTTTTTAATGGTTGGTAAGTCACGGCCTGTAACTGAGACAAAAGTTAACACGGTGTAGTAGGACTTGACGTATACACAGGCTTCCCAGTTCCAATATTTAAGCTATAAAACATGCATCGTACAATATAATTATATTAGTTGTGTGTCATACAAGTATTGTTTTACACTTGTCTTATGTCAGTCGATGAAACTCAACCTTTTCATTGTTGGGAACCCTGTGTCTTCCATAACTGTGTGTTTCTCACAGAAGGTTATCTAATACATCAGACTTTGCTGTCGCAATACCACAAATAAGATCAGAGCTGATTGTTCACTATGCAAAGGTTTCACATCAAATTTCATTGTTAAGTTTGTACACGTGTGCAATAGGTTGTCTTGGAAAGAACTGATTCAACTCTTGCACTTATGACTTTCCCAGAGAAATTAACAATTGTGACAACTCGATTTAATGATATGCCTTTTGTAACAAGAAATAGCTATTTAGTACCGAAATGCCATATTTAAATTAATTTATTTGCCATTTTATTTAAGACCCTCACATGACATCCTAATACTGCATGTGGATTTCAACAACTTAGGCTTAAAGGGAACTCTTAAGATGTATGAGAGTTTAATATCCATAGAAGTGATATTTGTGCAAAATTTTGTTTTCCCCTCTGTAATGATGACACAATAAAGGCCAGTTGATTATACAAGTGGTGTTGAGTTGAATTTGTTTCGTTAGGAATGATTTATGCAAATATATATATATATTTGGTTTATATACGGATTTAAAATCCCTGTTAATGTTATACTTTTTCTGTCTTATTATTTAACGTGTTAACCACTTCGTGCTTGCACTGTAAGATTGCAGCTTATCAAAACATTTATAAGAATGGAAACGAACATAATTTAATAAAATAGTGGAGTAAAAACTGTAAACTTCGATTTTGCTAAGATGGCTGACCTATAAATGTTATGGGAGAAAAACTAAGCATGTGGCGCCATCTAGTACAACTAATATTAATTTCCTAGAAGCTGTTGAATGTGTTTTTCAATCTGTGGTGGTTGTACGCAATAAGTATATTTTCGGGAATATTTTTCTTCAATATTATCATTTCATTACGTACATTGTTAGGACTGACGGCTTGCAAACTGAAATTCATAGCTAGGTTATGCTGCTTAAACTTAGTCTTAATCTTTTAAGTACTGTACGTACTTATACTGAAATTGCATTCATCACAAGACTTATAATGGCTGGAGACGGCTTGAATGGGTAATGAAGAAAAACCTTAATATAACAGCAAATGTACAAGGTTTTGTCATCATCAGGTACATTTGCTGTTATATTA